TGCATGGAAGATTTCTACAGAGACTTCTAGAAACAAATACTTCATCTGTTCTAACTTTAGGATAACTTCCTTCAGCTTGCCAAGCAACAACCATTACCACATTGCTGAAACTACACAAGGATTTAACCCAGAGGCCTTGCCTGGAGCCCCTTCATGGGGCTGTAGGAGCACTGGAGCAGCTGACAGCATGTACAACGCCAGTCAAATGACCTTTGCATTGCTGCTTCCTCTTCTCTCCCACATAAAGGGATAGAAGTTATCTCTGAGTCACATGGCAGGTTTAATATGAATATCCCACACAGCAAGCATGTCAGAGATGCTGCAAGGGCAGCTGGGGAAAATTACACCAAAACAGTGACTAAAGCAACAGGAGATTGAACTGTAAATGATCAGGTTGGGTAAACTGTGGGGAGGAGAACTGTCAGAACTAAGAGTCACAGTGATGAAGAGAACTGCCATACTCTACCTGTAAGCCCTCAGGTAGGCAGGTAGATAGGTATGCATGTGAAAAAGTGTCAGCATCGTAAGACATAGTTTTCTTCTTTTTTTTTTGAATAAAATCATTATTTAAAACATTGCTAATCTTCAAGTAGATTTCCTTGCACTTAAAACATGTATTTTATGACAGAAAATAAAAATACATCACAGTACAATCTCTGTTTTAAAAGAAAATTATAAACCCCTTTCTTCAAATTTGTCTTCTAGGAGCTCAAAGCTATTATTTTTGTAGCTATTTTACGTGCATTGCACTGTACATCACATATTCTATGCTACCAAGTATTGACAGTTTTACAAGAACAATAACCTTCTAATGGGTGAACACATTACCTAAAGTTTAAAAAAAGCAAATCTATATGAAACTAAGCAGTTTCCTAACTCAGCCTGTGCAAAATGTAACTTTAACATTTCTGGAGAAGCAGAGATGACAAAATTGGAAAATATTCTACCTCTCTCTCCACAAAAAACCCTCTTAGATCCCATCACAAGTTTAATTCTGATATATTATAACTAAATTTGTACAAAGTAACTAAGCAATTTGAGTACCAGCTAGGAGGCATATCTAAAAATCAGTCTCTGCTGAATAAAATTGTAACTAGTTCCTAGAAGGATAAATAATTCACTGAAAAGTTACTTGAAGCAAATTTTTATTTATGTTATATGCCTTTCTCAGACTCATTAAAATTGTTTCTATATTTTCATAATATATCACTTTCAAATGACACCATCATTTGCGTATTAAACAACTACACTCTGTGACAATTTCTTATCTTTAGCACTGATCTATTTGGACGTAATATATGCCACTGAACTAGATTAGCTATACTTGAACAAAACTCAAGTGTTGATTATTTTGTTGCAGTTCTTTCAAATCCTTCTACATTTACAGTTGTGCAAGGTGATCATGTATAAAATGAAGGATTTGGGATTTTGGGGTGGCTGGAGGCAGGGATTACTTCATTTTCTTAAGACAGATATTTTCTGTCATTGAACTATGCTGTCAGCTGATCTTAGGAAGTTTCCAACTCACCAGCACATTAGGACATCAGTAAAAGTAATACTTAGTATGTATTACAGCTGGAAAACCTTTTATTGTATAAGAATAAAGCAATATATTAAATTCATACATAATTGAATTTTTAGAGACAGAAAGTAGTCTTTAATGATTACAACAGCAATTACTGTTTCTGAAACGAATCTTTCAATCTAACATTCTGCTTCTTGACTATCCATAGGAAATTGTTCTAAAATTAATAAAACCTGAAAATTTATTCAGGTCAATTTATTGAGGTTAATTTAAAGATTTGACAGTGCCTTTTTTTTTTTACGTGTAAGGAAATGCTTTCCAAAATTTAAATAAATTTTTTTCCTAAATACCACTTTTGGGGAAAAGTTAATGATCTAATTATGAGAGGCTATGGCTTTTATTCTAAGCAATAAATTATCTTCATAAGAAACTTGGATATACAGTAAATCAAGTACTAACAGATGAGTAAGGTTATCTTCACTTTCATTATTACATTAACCCACAGGAGTACATGATTCTTTGATGAACCATCTTAACAGTTAACCAGTATGAAGTTAACTATGTCAATATTAAATTTCATGTAACTGCCTGTTAACAGACAAAAAAATTTCTCACTGAAAATACAGCACTAGTAACAATTTCTATGCTTTTATAATTTTTTTAATTTGGATTCATCCACTGAAACTGAAAAGACAAATTAAGAGAAAGAAGACGTAAGGGGAAGTTAGAAAACTTGAAACTGGTCAGTGATTGTCACAAACGACTGACAAAAAGGAACAAGTCTGCCATGGACCTGCACTTTGGTATCTTTTACCTTCACCATAGTGTAGAAAGACAGGAGTTTCTCAGAACGCTGCATTTCAAAACTTCATGCTCATGAGAACTACAGAGTATTTGAAACTGAGACTTTTAGAGATTTCAGCATTGTGAGACTGACTGAAAACACTGCTTGCAAAAACAGTTCAGGTAGCCTTTCCGTCAGCACAAAATGGGACTGTTTAAACCAGAAACAGTTTTGCTTCAGACAAGATCAGGTTTAAGGAAGAACATTCCTTAAGAAGAACATTCAAAGGTTTGTTTATTCTCTTCTTGGCATGATACAGGGTAGACAACCAGGGAAGAAAGGTGTTCTGGAAGAAAATAAAGTATGCTTTTCAGTGGAAACCTGAGTTTGGAGTAGTGGATACACCAAATAAATTCCAACCAGAAACTGAACAAGACAGCTGCTGTTTCCTGATGGAAGCAGAAAGCTGGGGCAGAGGAAAAAGGGAGATATTTTGTGGGAAACCAACACTGCCAAAAATCTCTTCTGTTTGAGAAACTGGTGTTTTCCTTTCTTTCTTAGCTTAAAGGAGTATAACTGAAAACACACGTGAATTAAGAAACAGATATGATTATGATCACATGATGATAGATGCCCTAATGGTTTCATGCAGAAATCTGGAAAACACATTTGAATTACCTCCTCCATCTGTATAAGCAATATTTCCTATTTAAATAGCTGAAACCAACAGGGGATGCTTTTAAAAACTGCTCTTCTTACTGCAGCAGGCTCAGTGAGAAACACCCCATCACAGGGACACGAAAACTGGATTGCAGCTTAAAAGTCCTGTAAATTAAAGAAAATTAGACAGAAATGTTGAGCAGACGAAGACATAACATACATTTAACATCAGACACAGTTGCTCCAAAGTTTTACAGAAGTTGTGTCACCTTTGCTACAGTTCCTTTCAGTGGATGTTGAGTCTTCCCTCAGCCCATAACTGCCCAAATGGCCCTTGAGCTGTCGGTGTCAGGAGCAGTCCAGGCTCTGCCACACATACTTCCTCTGTGTGCATCTAAACTCACTCATTGTCACCCACCAAAAATGAAACACATCACACTTATCTTTCCTTCCTCATTTTGTGCATGCAAACATTCCTTTATTTTTAAGCTTCTTTCATGAGGGCTGGTACCCTGCCTACCCCAACCCTCAGCAGTACCATCTCCAAAGTTTGCACTTAAAGACATTCAGGGTATGGACCTGTTGGAGCAAGTCCAGTGGAGGGCCACCAAGATGATTAGAGGGCTGAAGCATCTCTCCTGCGAGGAAAGTCTAAGAGAATTGGGATTTTTCAGCCTGGAGAAGAGAAGGACTTCCACTGGATCTTACAGCTTTGTAAGTTTTGAGGTCTTGTCTTAATTGCAGAGGATGACTTAATTCAGCTCTCCACTGCCGAGCCCTACCTTGGTACCTACCTTGGTATTATCAGAAATACAGCAAGCTTTCTGTGTCAGGCAGTGTCTTAGTCTTTCTCTTCCACCCACAACTAAAAAGATGATTGAATGTAAGGCAGAAATAATTAGTACTGTAGGCATCTTGACTATAAACATTTCAGCCCTGCTTGGATCCTGCTAATTTTACAGGTGGCTGAAAAATTAATTCTTACTCACCTTTCACTACTTACCATGGAAGCATCTTAGAGTAAGCTTATTCTTCACCAAATTTCTGGAGTGAATAGAACAAACAAAGAGAAGAACATCATGTTGATCCAGTAACAAAACTCCTGCAAGATCCCCTGTACACCAGGGGAACAACCACACAACGTACTGAGCATAAAGCAATACCAGCCCGAGCAGTAGGAAACAAGAGAATGTAATTTTCTCTCAAACAGCAAAAGCTATGAATTATTTCTGATTACTGTTTGAGGACTTAAGTTACAGGATACATAGAAAAGTACATCATTGTGGACAATATGAACACTAGTGACTTCCTACCAGGGCTAGGTTTTTAGTTTGGTTGTTTTAAAAAATTAAACCAAACAGCCCCCCTCCCCCCCACCCAGTTATAACCAAGACCTAAGGAGCTGATGGTATTTACTTGAACTTGAGTAGCGAGTCCAAGTCCCAAACACATGAAAACATGTGAACAATTGTGCATTTCTTTTGTAACACAGAAACTATTTATCTTGGATCTTCTGGTTTGTGTGACTTCCCAGGGTTTAAAATTTCACTCCCTTTTTAAAGTGAATCTAAGACAGTATCAAGTGAACATCTGAAGATCAATACCATACATAACTTTCTCTTTTGACCTAAGTAAGAACTATTTGCTTGCTTAGAAGGCAAGAGACACTATAATACCTTTGAGGTACATCTGGATGACATGGAGACTTTTGTTACGAATTCTGTACATTTTTAATGGAAAAAAGCCCACGTAAAATTATCAGAAAGTTAGCTTACAGTACTTATGCGGACCTTTCAAAAATCATATTCCAGTTATGTCCTGGCAAATTTTTTTTGTTTTCTTTGAAAAGTAGAAATTAAAATAATTGGTATACAAAAATATTTGAAAGTCAACAAGCAAAGGTTTAAAAATATATAGTTTAAACTGTAACCACTAAAATTTAAATGTTTGAGTCAGATGCCCAAATTTTACGATGTCTCTCAGTTTTTTTTTTTATTTTAGAACGTCATCAAATATAGAACACTTCACAAATCATTTTGTGAATGAAATTTTTATTTACACACTGTATCCAGAAGCAGATACATAAATCCTTATACAATTATTTTTCAAAAATGTGCAAGAAATTACTATAATTTTGTTTACAAACCAAAACACATTAAAATCAATGGACTTTGGATAATTCACTCTGTGGCGTGCTTAGTACAAACAGTGCACACCAGGTCTGAAACAGAGAAAAGTGTAAACTACAGCAATCTGGATTGCAAGTATTAACTTCATGGCACTCCATCATCACTATAAAAATTCTTTAACCCAACAGGTATTCATAAAAAGTTCTTTTAGATTTTTTCATTATCTGTGTAGAATTTAGAACACTTTCCAGATACAATAATGCCATACTTTTCATATTATGACCTATCTAGCCCATTTTTTATTTATAAAGAATGCCTGTAATTTTTATTCTTTGCAGTCATAGAAAGATTTTATGAAATTAAATTGGCAATCATTAATGCATCCATAGCTTAGCTCAGAATTTGAAAGTTCAGTAACAAAGAAATACTTCTCATCAGAATCATAGCCCATATATTGCTGGTATGCTGTTTTAAATTTTGAATTTCAGTATTCACATAGATGAAATGCATCAAAACAAAAACCGCACAGATTTTCCTTAGCCCAGCAGTCAATATTCACAGAAAGAAATTGGCTTTAACAAAATGCAAAGTCAGCTCATCTGAGAACAATGAGTTTAATTAATAATTGCATTTCTGATCCTTCTGACAGAATTACATTTTGATAAAAAGATGGCATTCACTATGTCAACAGCAGGATAAGTGCTATATCCTTCAAACAGATCAAAGAATACACATCACTTTCAGTTGTTTATAACACTGGTTTACAAAACAAACAAACAAACAAACAAAAACACAGAGGAAGTTGTGCAAATTTATTATTTCCAAATACATGTGGTTTAACTCTTCTAATTGGTAAACCAGACAATATTATCAATAATGTCAATCGTTTCAGATGCTCAAAAAGTTTTACTTCAAGGTTTCATTTTTAAAAATATTTTTCCACAATTCAATCATAAAAAGCATACTTTTTGAACCCTTAAACTGTTGTGCTGAATAAATAGGCATATTTCTACTCTATAAGGATCACAGTTAGCTTTTATTCCTAGTGTATCTACTTCCAAAGTTCCCCAAAATATTCTCAATCATTTTCCTTTTATTTGTCAAGGACACTTTGTTCCTCTAATTTTCATGAAGCAGAAGTCAACACAATTTTTGTGGTTATTCTGACTACTTCTAAATGGACTTATAACTAAATGTTACTGTGTTTCTTTTATATTAATCTTTATTATAAGAAATTGTAAGTATCTTTAATGTTTTCGAAGTATTTTTTCTGGGTTCCTTCTCCTGGCTGGCCAGTTACCTCAGCATGAAAAAATACTGTGAGGTTCTGATTAAAGAAACCTGAAAAATAAGTATTTGTGTCTACTTACTACTGATTGAAAGTATTTTGAGCTTAGTAGAAATATCACCACCATTTTTTTATTCAGAAGCAAAGTGCTATGTGGTTCTCACATCCTATACCTCAGCCACTTTAAAGTGTTCCTTTTGTGGTAGCTTTATAGGGGGGTGGGGAAATGACAAAGTTAACTTGACCTGATTAAGTTCACAGATGAAGAACAAGCAAGGAAGGCAACTCAGAAACTGGATAATTGAAACAGAGTTTAAAGAAATAAAAAAGCATCAACATTTATGAGTGAGCAAACTGAAACTTATAAAGGCATGAGCAAGAATTTTAACATGTGTGTTCTTGCACATTTTTCAATTCAGCAATAAGACCAGGATATTATAGCTTCATATATTTAAGTTTCAATGCAATGACTGCTAAATTAACGCATGTGGCATAGTATAAACATATGTTTAATGCATTCAATAGTGGTATTAAATGGCAAAGAAAATATTTAATATACTATAATCTTCCAAAGATTCCGTAGAATGCATAGGTCTTCTAGTATGGGGAAAGAATTTTTAAAGTGAAGAAAATGCCAGAGGCTTTCTTCCAAAAGTATGCATCTGAAATCCACAAAAATTATTTTCTTTTTCCTCCTCACAGACAGAATCAGAACACTGTACCATACAATAGGTTATTGTGCCTTTTTGAATAAATTTAGTGATCCTGATTCAGAGGAGGGGGGGACGGGGCATGACTGGATAGGGGGAGAAGTCAGTAGAAATAAAAAAAGAAAACAGAATTCACACTTTCATAGATATATCTCCATGGCAGAGCCAACAAATTACATGTATAGACTGCTCTAGATTATTTCACTTTTTAAGTTTAAAACTTTATCAGACTAAAGAGGAAATCCTTATTCTCCCTCCCTTAAAAGCAAAGGCAGTCTTTATCTACCTTTGATTTTCTTTTTTTAATTTTTTAGTTAAACATTATGGTCAAAAAAATAAATTAAAAAAATATAAATTTCGTCTATCAATTCAGGCAACCCAAGATGTAGTGCTACTGCACCACCTTGCAGCAATACTGTATTCATTCCTAAAGACTCATTTGAGGGGACCAAAAGGCTAGACTAAATAAGGAGAAGAAAATGACCTAAACAAGAAAGCTGTATCAAAGATGAACAGCCTTTTTTTCTACGGTGATTTTTACTGATTAGCCACTCCTATCAGAGACAGGGAATATGACATTCTAAAGTACAAAACAGGGGGGCAGAGGCAGACAAAGCAAGCCTTCCTCCCAAATTAGCTATGACCCCTTTAACAAATAACTCATAAAACTGATTGAAACATGGGAGAAAAAGAAAAAAAACAACAACTAAAACAAAACAGGGAAATGCCATGGGTTAACCTTGCATGATGAAAACACTACAGTGTAGAACCTGCACTCCCCATTGAAAGTCTTTTTTTCCCTACAGAAGGTTAGAATAACTGTAAGCTTTTCAAATGCCAGAATTTTTGACAGATGTCACAAACATTTACTTAATTAATTCAATATTTCATATGTCAAAACATATTTCATGACAATAAACTGAACATTTTCTGTGGTCACTGTATATCCAAACATCTTTTCTCTAAGATTTGAAAGACTACGAGAATAGAGCTTTAGAGATGCATTTTAAGCATCTTCCATACAAAATATTATCAGTCCATTCCTTCCTCCCCAAAGGATATACAAAAAAGGGGAAAATGATCCAAAGGATATTAGTGTATTACTGTAATTTCTGAAGTGAAAAAAAATGCAGAAAAATGAAAAAGGATAAAATTTCAAGTAGCTTGAATATAAATAAGGTAGAAATCATCCTATTAAAAGTTTTATCCCATCCCCAAAATGGCTTATAATTTATATTCCCACAATAACAATTCCTAGAGTCTTCCTACAAATCCAGGAAATTCCACTCCCCTGCTCCCCAAGATGAGGCAGGAAGGAAAAGGACAAAAAGAGGAGACCTGGTAGGTGTTCATTTATGTAACTGATGGCATGATTAGAAAAGGTAATATTTGACAAGATTCCAATATCACAATTTCCTTATAGGTATTATATATTGACTTTTATTGACTTTTTTTTTAAAGGCCATTTTTAGAGGAGAAAACACTGAGACAAGAAGAAGGCTGAATCAACCTTCTTGAACACAAGAGTGTACAGACAATACAAGGCTTAGGAGGAAGGCATTTGTTTTTTTTTTTCTTAAAGATATGCTGCATAACCATGTTCTTATCACACAGCTCTGTCTATACATTAGGGCATATCTCTATAGGAATTTTCTAATTAGGACACTAGGAAATAGTTATTACTATAGGTGTAAATTCAGTAATTTAGAATACCAATATGTTCCTTATCCATGATCATTTTTTTTCAAGAGGTTGTTTTAAAGGAAAAAAAATTCCATTCAACAAGTTTCATCTGACTTTTACTTATCGTTGAATACACATGAAATGTGCTTTCAATGCATAAAAATCACAGTGGATAGCAGCAAAGGACTTGGGGGAAATTAAGGAGAATTTGATCATTCACATTGTGATTAATCTGCACATTGATGAAAGATAGCTATTTCACACTTCTAAAAATAAATTGAGATCATTCTTTCCAACAAAACAAAAAAGAAAGCCTCCCAAAATACACAAAACCCCCCAAAACAAACATAAATCCAAATGCATTACTTTTCTTTTACACACAAAAATGAAATATTTTTATGGCAGCAAAAGATTTTGATAATAATGAAAGTCTGTAAACTGTAATTCAATCTCTTTTTGTTGTTGTCGTTCCCAAAGTGCAAGATGCAAGGTTCCCGTAAGCTTTCAGTAGTGCTTTTCCTGTAAATAATCCTTCATTTTGTTTGGCAAAGGCAGTTTTTGAATCAGGTCTATTCTGGTGTACTGACGTATTACAAAACGACACAGGTACTGCAAAGAGCGCACCTGCATAAACCGAGACACTGGATTTGTCAGTCTCACTGGGTAAGTGGCAGATCCAGGCAGCCGGGATCTCGAATAGCAGAAAGCTCCATTTTCAGAGTCCCTGATTGAATGTTCAATTAAGTCAACTATAGATGTATGTCCCTCCACATCTGGCTGTTCATAAAAACTAAACCTACCATTTGAGTGTTCAATTCTAGTGTGAAGAGTTTTTCCATGGGAACGAAAACTCAAACTTAAAAGATAACGATCATCAGAACTATCTCGAACGAGAAACGAGCCATCAGGCACATTAGCTAATTTTCCCTCTGCCTCCCAACGTGTAATGGGGCCCCAGTACCATCCTTGTTTTGCAAGTTTTTTCAGTTCTTCTGTCAGACTTGTCACAACCATAGGACCACTGTTCTGTACAGAATCATAGACTCTTCCAACTCCTGGGGCAGTGTTAGGATCAAAATTCAAATGGCAGCGCATACTTTCAGCCACATGGGCATCTGTGCCATTTAATCCATTGAAGTTCCTTTGGATTTGATTATTCTGCATTGGAGGTAGCAAAGGTGAGAGTGGAGGGACATCGCTGTGATTAAGCCTTGGGCTTTGCAACATGACTCCTGTGGTACCAATCAACAAACCATTCACTGTCTGGTCCACAAAGATATCCGGTGCAACGACTACATCCTGATCCACTTGGCTCTCGTCTTCATGGAAAGCATTTCCCCCCACTTGAGAAGAAACAGTTGAAACTTCCATGGGTGAGGAACTATCCAGACAGTAACTACGTGATCCTTCCAAAGGATACATTCCCTCATCTAAAGGCACAGTATACTGAATGTAGTCCTGAGGCATTAATCCAATAACTACAGGCACATGTTCATCAATATGAAGATGCAAGTCTCCGTTCTGAGATTCTGTATTTTTTAATGCATTGTTTTGTTCCTGGAACACGTTTTCTGACTGCAACTCGTGGAAGTCCTTTCTAACACCATTCAGTGCAGGGCTTGGATTAGAGGAATGGACCATGGCCTTGACTTTCACTTCCATTTTGATGCAAGTCTCTTCCGAATTTGTAGGTCGAAGGGGCCACGGAGTTGGACTGTAATGGTGATTACGGAGGGAAGTAGATCTCAGAGGTCTTTGAGCTCGCACATCTTTGAAGGTTATTGGAGCAGATGAGGAAGAAAAGGTGTCATCATCTGCAGAGTTTACAGATGGTGTGCTGCCTTTGCCTTTCTGTTTTTGTTTTGCTGAAAGCCTCCTTTTTAATGTACCCATTAAACTTTCACTTTTTGATCTATTTTTGCTTCCTTTTTCATCTTCACTGTTGACTTCACAGCTAGCCAAATCTTTACCATAGCAGCTGCCAAACAAGGAGTCATCTTTTCCAAATTCACTTAAGGATGGCTGCTGAACCACTACAAAGTCACTTTCGTCTTTACTTTTATTTAAGTTAAAGGACTTGCGAATTGTTTTCAGACTAATTTTCTTCATTATGACAAGCTAACAAATCTGGCTGATCAGCAGTGCTTGCGGTGATATAGCCCTAACACATGCAGAGCAGCTTCTGCTTCATTTATGTGTCTTATCCAGCCTCATTTAACTTCAAGAGCCATTTCCTGGAAACAAATAAAAACCAATTAACTTCAAAGAAATATTTCAAAAATTATCTATAAGGGTTTCCCCCTCTCTAAACAATGCAGCAGTCGCAGTACTTAAACAATGGGCATCAAACAAAGGTAAAGATAGAGAGCTGACTTAGAAACCAATCAGGGTCAAAAAATGAATCTGCTACATCTGCCTTGGAGATTTCCACAACTTTTTTCTGCTATCAGCAGGATATTTTTTTGAAACATACACACACACTACATCACATTCACAGGCACATATATTTAATGCACATATACATGTTTTCAAGCACAGAAACACTCCTCTCTTTCCTAAGGCTCCTAAAAAGTCCCCGCATAAATAATTACAGAAGATAAAACTACAGGAGATATTCAACAGGATTCCCACATACAGGTTAAACAGTGATTGGTCCTAAAAACATGGTCTTATAAGGTCATACTTTCTCTACACAAGTTGAGGAATATTCAAAAGATTACATAATTATAGGAAAACTAACTCCAATGAAAAAATAGAGGGACATTAACAGCAAAGTAACATATGTTTACAACAAGTCCCCTCCTGAACTTCTTTGAAAGAAAAGTAGATTTCCAAACTGTTTTAGGCACAGAAGACAAAGTTACAGGCTCTTATTGACTAGAACTTTTAGAACTTTTATTCCACCAGTACTTCTGCCAAGACCTAGTGGACACAGCTGCTCAAGTCCCAGTCAACTGCTCCCATCTGGCATCTTACAGAGTCATGTACCCACAAATTTAACCTTTTGGCTTGTGTTTTTTTTTTGTTTCAGGTTTGGCTGTGCTTGGAGGGGAGCTTGGTTTGGTTCTTTTTAATGTTAGCTAGACCTTTCAAAGCAAACAGCTCTGCAGAGAGAAGGACACAGGAAAGAGAAGAGAGAGAAGTTGCCACTGCCACAGAAGTACTACCAGTAGTAGCAGCCATTATTCCACGTACCTCCAAATACGTGTGATGTTAGCAGGACAAACTGCAGCAGCAAGCCTGGCTCCAATCTAAGCATGGCAAACTCAATCTTTCAAGAAATCTTCCAACCTTGGTGGACTGAGGGGAAAGTAAAACAGTCCTTATGTACATACTTCCCACTTCTCTCCCATGGCATCACAATACAAGCAACAGAAAAAAACTGTGCAATAAACTAAGTTTTTCAACTAAACTATATGGTTTTCTTAAATAAGCATTCAAAAATTGCATAAAAAGATGTGAGGAGAATGATTACTATAACCAAACGCAGTCCATTGGCTATTACTCTTGTCCAATCCAACTTTTGTGGTCCTCAAGTACACAAAGGCTAAAGGATCATATTCAAAGCAAACGAAAAGGCAATGCGAGGCATCTGTGGATTCTGAACTTCAAAATACCCTGAAAAATTTGACGTAAAGCCCTGCTGCTGGAGGTTGGACACTGCTTCATAAAAAGTAAAGCCTGATTTACTTAGATTTGTACCCTAGTCCTATCTTCAAATTCCCTAGACTATCTGCATCTCCCTGTTTCAAAGACCAGTTTTGACTTTGTCATAACCTCTGATATTTCACAAGTCCATCTTTAGAGCATGTTCAGCTCCTCCTGTTTCCTTTTCTTAATTACCAAACTAAATAGCACTTTCCTTACTTTCAGTGGGAGAAATTAAAAGGTTTCTGTAAATTGATACACTTCCTATCAGCAAAGAACAAACATAGCCAAAAAAATTGTTCCCTAAACAAACAAAAGACAAAGAACCAATTTCTTGCTATAAAACAAATATTAAAACCTAAAGAAAACAGAACCAGTATTTTATCAGATGTTCAGATTATTTTCCACTTTTAACATGACGCCTGTTGTACCAAGAGTCATGAAACCCTAAGACAACATCTTCCACATAAACAATTTGAAGTAGATACTGAGATACAGGTATGACTTTTCAAAGGTTAAAACACTACTTTTACTTTCCTACAAGTACAGATAAAGGCAGACTTACATGTCAGTTAAGAGGAGACTCAAAATGTCTTGCTGACCTTCTATTCCTAAACCATTTGGATTTTGTCATCTTACCAATTTATAGTACTCTTTTCATCATAGGTAAGTAAATGAACCTACAAAATGAGTGAAAATTACAACTTCAGGATTCTATGCTGCTCCTAAACTGACAGAGTGTTGGTTCATTTGATAAATTTAACCGTGTGTTTGTGTATGTAGTACCAGAAGCCTGGGAACCCTCACATTAGCTCCACCTGTGAAATCCACAAGGTTCTCCAACTGCTTCTGACTGACACCCACAAGCTGACACTATTTCCACTTTTCCAGAAATGTTCCCCCATCATTGTGGAAACTATATTATACCATTGGCAATTCCTAACCCTAAAAAAAACCCAACCAACCAACCAACCAAACAACCAAAACAACCAAAAAAAAAAAGGAAAAAAAAAAAAGAAAAAAACACACCAAAACCCCCACAAACAAACAAAAACCTCCAAGCAAACAAACAAAAAAAAAATGAAGGACAAAAAAGTAAAATCTGTCTTCCAAGCTAGAGAAATTAAAAGAGCATTATCACATTGCTGACTAGGGAAAGAAGATGCCCCAAACTGTATGATTCACACATCTTTTGTCATTGGTGTGTTTCAAAACAACTAGTTACCTAAAATTTAGCTGAAGGAACATTGTTTTAGCTTTCAGCTTTTCCGTAACTAAAAGATTAAGCCAGTCACTTGAAAGAACAAGTTTTTATCACGTGCTAGTCTTTCTGTATCAAAATGTGGAGTTTCTTTACAAATGAAAATCCAATATCTAAAAATTATCTCAACAGATCAGTCTCTAAGGCAGCACCCAGAGTAGTCAAAACTTTTTACTCAGAAAGCAACTACTGAGCCTGTTTGAGCAAAAAAGTCTTTTACGTCTGTCGGCCTACCTTAGTAGCCAATATCTTTAACAGAAAAAATGCGTGACTGTCCAAGTGGGACTCTTTCTTGAAAGTCAACTGCCCTTGTCCCCGTGAGGGACTTCAATTTGCCAGAAATCAACTGGAAGCATCACACAGCTGGCAAAACCCCAGCCAGAAGATTCCTAAAAAACCTGGATGACAACTTTATGGAACAGGCCCTAAGACAGCCAACTCAGAAAGATGCCCTTCTTGATTTGCTGCTTGTCAACAGAGATGATCTTGCAAGCGAAGTGGAGATTGGTGGCCGTCTTGGCCAAAGCAACCACCAAGTAATTGAGTTTAAAATTTCTGTTGACAGGAGGAAAATTGCCAGCAAAACCTCAACTCTGGACACGAGGAGAGCAGATTTCAGGCTGCTCAGGGAACTAACAAGTTGAGTCCACCAGGAAAATGTTTTTGTAGGTTTTTGCAGTTTTTAAACATCATCTCCTAAGGGCACAGGAGCAGGCAATCTTTTCTCGGAAATAAGGCAAAAATGGAAGGTGTATGCCCAGTGGAAGCAAGGTCAGGTGACATGGGAAGAATCCAGAGATTCTGCTTGCCGCTCTAGGGAGAAAATTCGTGCAGCCAAAGCTCAGCTGGAGTTGCAGCTGGCCAGAAATGTGGGAGACAATGAAAAGTTTTTTTTTCAAATACATTAATGTCAATAGGCAGTGTAGAAATATTATTGGCCTGTTACAGGATGTGGATGGTCACTTCCCAACAAGGGACAGAGACAAGGCAGAGGTGTTTAACGCTTTCTTCGCCTCTGTCTTCAACACAGATGATGGACCAAGGGGGTCTCAGTGCCCTGAGCTGGAGGACCATGACTGCAAGAATGATCAACTCACAGTCAACGCTGAAATTTTGTGGGATCTGCTCCTCCAGCTGGACCCCTACAAATCTATGGGGTCTGATGGGATTTGTCCAAGAATCCTCAAATTGCTAGCTGATGTCATCGCAAAACCTCTCTTGATATTTTTGAGTGGTTTTGGGAATCCAGACAGGTCCCAGCTGACTGGGAGCTGGCAAATGCTGTCCCAGTTTTCAAGAAGGGAAAGAAGGAGGACCCCAGAAACTACAGGTCTGTCAGTCTCACTTCAGTGCCTGGCAAGTCATGCAGAAGATTATTCTGGGAGGTACTGAAAAACACCTGGAGGACAATGCAGTCATTGGTCACAGCCAGTATGGTTTCATGAGGGGAAAGCCCTGCTTGTAAGACCTGATTTCCTTCTACTCCAGGGTAACCCACCTAGTTGATCTAGGAAAGACAATAGATATAATCTTACTGGACTTCAGTAAAGCTTCTGATACTGCCTCCCACAGTATCCTTCTGGACAAAATGTTATGTGATGGGTGAGCAACTGGCTTACAGGTTGAGCACAAAGACTTACAGTGAACAGGGTTACATCAGACTGGTGACCTGTCACTAGTGGGGTTCCACAGGGCTCCATCATCAGCTCAGTGCTCTTCAACATCTTCATAAATGACTTGGATGCAGGACTTGAAGGGATACTTAATAAGTTTGCTGACTACACCAAATTGGGAGGAGCTGTTGACTCCCTCAAAGGCAGGGAGGCCCTGCAGAGAGACCTTGATAAATTGGAGAGATGGGCAATCACCAACCCTATGAACTTTAACAAGGGAAAGTGCCAGATTCTGCACCTGGGATGGGCAACCCTAGTTGTGTGTATAGACCAGGGAACAAGAGGCTAGAGACCAGCACTGCAGAAAGGGACCTGGGGGGTCCTGGTCAATGGTAAGTTCAGTATGAGTCAGCAGTGCCCTGGCAGCCAGGAGGGCCAACCGTGTCCTAGGGGGCATCAGGCAAAGCATCACCAGCTGGTCGAGGGAGGGGATTGTCCGGCTCTGCTCTGCACTGGGGCGGCCTCACCTTGAATATTGTGTGCGGTTTTGGGTGCCAAAACATAAGAAGGATATTAAGCTCTTAGAGAGCATCCAAAGGAGAGCCAGAGGGATGCTGAAGAGTCTGAGGGGGAAGCCTTATGAGGAGTGTCTGATGTCATTTGGTTTGTTCTACCTGAAGAAAGGGAGATCGAGGAGAGACCTCACTGCAGTCTACAACATCCTCATGAGGGGAAGCTGAGGAGTAGGCAGTGATCTCTTCACTCTCACAACCAATGACAATGGCCCAAGGAAATGACATGAAGCAGAGTCAAAGGAGGTTTAAGTTTGGTATTAGGAAAAAGGTTTTCCACCCAGAGGATGGTTGAGCAATGGAACGGGCTCCCCAGAGAAGTGGTCACAACACCAAGCCTGACAGAGTTCAAGAAGCATTTGGACAATGCTCTCAGGTACATGGTGTGATTCTTGGGGTGTCCTGCGTAAGGCCAGGAGTTGGACTCAATGATCTAGATGGGTCCCTTCCAACTCAGTGTATTCTGTGATATGCGTGACTCATTATTTGTACCCTTGAAAATTCCATATGAGGATATAAGAAAGGTTTGATGCTCAAATATAAAGCACATAAACAACATGCATCTATCCAGAGTCCAGTTCATTCACACATGAGAAGATGATAAAAATCTAGTGAGTGACAGTCCTGGTCAAAGCTCTCCAAAGTAAACTGAATACACCCACCGATGAGAGCAAGTCTCTAAACAAGTCTGCCATATGAGATACACTCTATGATACCTCCTACACATATTTTATCCAAGACAGGAAAATATAAATACACCCTGAAGTCAAATACCCGAATTGACCCAGATACTCTCCTTTCTTTGAACATACTTAAAGAACATCAGTAATTCTGCATTGCATATCAATGTGTTTAAAAATGCTGTATAAACAGCCCTCAATAGATGATACACTCTTACACTTACAAGTATAGAATTTTCCAAAGTCTACGTATAAAAACGCTGAAGCCAAAGAGCCCAGTATGCACCCCTTCCTGGAATACATTGAAATGAACTATGCAACTTCTTCACAACCCTCAGCACAGCAACAGCTACATTAGTATTTTGCACAAATTACGGCATCACTGAAGTCTCCCACTGATGTGCTCTTCCAGTGCCATCTGCTGTACAGTGAATTTAGACAGCCTAACAAGCAACACCTCTAAAAATTTTTCTGGCAGGCATTTGCCACTATAAACAGACTGAACTATGCCAATGTACTCCCAAAGCCTTGTGGCTATGTACGCAGAAACACCTGAAACACACAGACTGAAAATGAGAGATTAATCAAATTCAGAAAGAGAATGAGATCTTAACACACAGAATAACAAGGCAGAATGAGATTCTGACTTATGAACTTTCATAAGAAAGTCTGCATCTTGGAATCTTTAATATTATGCAGGTCGACAAAATATAGGCCTCTGGATAAAAACTACCAAATTACTACCCAGCAAACTCCATGCTCCCTTTCTGCATAGAAAAATAACAAAAACTAAATTTGTACACCTCATTTTGAAGAAGAACAACATTTATTAATCACACACAAATGTGAAATTATTAATTAAGATAATTAAGGCTAAGACTTGACTTTACAGGCTGCTTCTCAGAAATGTGAAGAGCAGGCCATGCAATCGTATATTAATTATTATGGTGGCCAGCACTGATGTATGAAAAATTATGAAAGTTTTAAATATATATATATATATATATATATATATATAAATCAGTTTCTGCAAACCTAATTTGAATATTCCAACACTTCAGAGTAGTTTCAGTTTGATGTTACAAAACAGCTATGTGATTACAGTCTGCTGAAACTATCTGGAAACAGTGTTCACAAAAGTACATCAACAAAAAGCTTCACTATATTTATAGGGTTTTTTATTAATTTCTTATCTTTTTCACACTTTTAGGTTAGGCATACTCATTTCCTGAGATGAGTACTATAAACAGTGCTGCCAAAATGCACTACTGTAGAAATAAATCAGGATTAACTTTAAGGAGTTGTGACAGAAAACATCGTACTGGAAACATACAGCAAAATACAACTCATGGCTGAACAAAAAATTGTCCTTAAAATGTTTAATAAAAATACCATCACAAAAATTACTTGGAACTTTTAATCAATGCTATTTCAGATAACTTTCCTAAAATAAATGTTAATCTGCTTAGTTATTTCCATAAAGTGAAACAGTTGAGCATTGAATTTGATTTTTTTGAATCCAGAGATGCATCATTCCTGAAAAGTCTGGTTGTCTCTTACAAATATATAATCTTTATTCTTACCATATCATAAAACTTACATCATTTACAACTTCAATTTATTGTATTTTAATATAATTATTAAGAAAAAAACTAAAAATATCTTGAAAGCAAAACAGGTTTCTGCATTCCCGGGCATGACAAGGACCAGGTTCTCATTGCAATCACATAATGAAGCCTAGTCTAATTATCTGCAGAAGTATGAGGTGTCATTCTCCTGCTGCCCCCAAATTCCCACTGAAATATATTCATGCATTCTTTGGAAGAGCATGTCAAAACCAGCATCTTAAGTAATACAGATTTCAAGTGATATACTTTGGAAATTCATAAGTGTCTAAATTTTCTCCAAAGTTCATATAATTATTCATATGAATTACTAAGTTGTTCTCCACACCTGTTCCCATCAAATTTACTTCAATACTGAAGTCAGTATCACTAGAAGTTGCCTTCAAACTAGTATAGAAAATACCAAATCAAGATATTTCCTTCTACGTATTTTCAGTTTCAGTCTATATGAGTGCAGAAACTACACATAAAATACTCATCATGTAAAGAGAGATTCAATATCTATTTCAAACATCATCAGTTTCTGATGGAACATACACACTACATGGCAGCTTTTGGCTTTTTCACTACATGTGCCCTTATCATACTGAAGATGGTGAGGTTTTTCCCTTCCCTGAGCTTCAAGTAAATTCCTATGTTGTATTGCTTTTTAGTAAGAACAGTCTTTAAATGAAGCAATCTAAATTCCATTACATACTCATATACCTTGAAAACAAAAAAGGTAGATTGTTTTAGCAGAGGCTTGCTTACTAATGGATGAACACTGTCCTAATATGATTTCAAATTTTATAAAAGCCCTTCTGACTTGCACACCTGCTTTTCCAGTTAGTGAGAAGCTGAGATGTACACCTTGACATAAAATTGGAACAAGGAAAAAACAGATAAGAAGCTCATCTGACAGTACATTATACTTACATCAAGAGTACTTAAAGCCTCCTATTTTTAAGCTAACTAATCAATGACCTTAACACAGAGTAGATGTTATTCACCACAGATTTAAATTTTTACCATCTAAGATTTGAACAGTTGAGAAAAGTATGGTAAGCTTCTCCAGAGGCCAATATAATTTAACAGGTTTTACAGAGATTATGATTTAAAACAAACCAACCAACAGCATGTCAGTTAGTCATATAATTTCTCCTATTTTTTTTCCTCTTTTTACAAAGCTTAAAAAGAAAACAGTCCGTGGGCACTAATGTTCTAACACAGTATAGCGTAACCCTAACCACTGTTAGCAATCTTTAGCAGAGAATAAGCAAAGTACACCTTTGGAAATATGTAGGAAAGGGGGGTAAAATAATAAAAACTTGACACAAAGTTATTATTTTTCACCACCATTAGTGGAATTAAATGTATGCAAAACCAGGAACAGAGCCACTGAAAAAGTCTAAACACCCTGACTGCTTGTCTCTGGCCTGCTGTTGAAAAAGGATGCCCCTTAACATCTGGGTTTCCCTGATTTATTTTTTATTTTTTCATTTTTTTTCTTTGAACACTACTTAATCCATGGCTGCTTGCAGTAAGTCCTGCTCTTCTTTCCCATATTTGGTTGCAGGACAGAATATTTCTATCTGATTGGTAGTTTTCCTCCAGAGAGTAACTAAGAGTGTTAAATGGCATCTCTGTTATGGCTCATATGTGTATATACAGTCTTGTAACTACAATAATTTCATCACTACAATAGCTAAAACCAGTTACTAATAGTAACAGACCTCAGCCAAGGTTACATCTCCCCTATCCAAGGATGAGTGACTGGGATGCATGTCTGCTTCCAAGCTATCACAGACACCCTAGTCTGGGGTGTGTTAAACTGAAGTCAGCACCAGTTAGTACTGGCTCAAGAATACATACAGCATCACAATACCAGAGTTGCTGTTGGAGAAGGAAACTCCAGGGGAGCTGGGCGGATGACAGCCAGCAAGCACTTCAGCCATTCCTGCTAGATCTCTCTTACAAACTAAGAATCAACAACCAAACAGGTAAGCAAGTAGATTGTATTTTTAATACACTTACTAAAAGATGGGCAAAAGTACCACTTTTCATCACTTTCTTTTAAGCAGACATATGATAATAAAGTATACTACTAATAAATTTTTTCAAGCACGCTGAAAAAATACCAGGAAAAAGAAAGCCACAATTTGGCTCTAAGACCCCGATGAACTAACAGTGAGGAGGAAAGGAGCAAACAAAAATGTATGCCAAGCCACTGAAAAAGATAAAAGTGGAACATTTTTGATGAATCAGCTGAGAGAAGTCACTAAAGAAACCTGATGTGTGCATGTGTTTCATTGCAGGGAATCACATCCATTGAGTGCAAATAAACCTTCACTTACAGTGTTCACACAGCTGTGCAGAAGCAGACGAAGAATGAGAATAATGCTCAGTCAGTCTCTGTTTTCATTTTTTACTATTTTGCAAGACTGCAGCAGCCAGCCTTGTAGCAGGCTGTCTGTCAGCAAAAATTTAGTTCCATAAGCAAAAATTAGACTTCCTGGGAGGTGATGCATCCGAGAATTCCATTCTGAGTAAGGGTTCATCCCCCTTCTCCATCCTGACGGAAGCTGGATACACCAAAATGTTACTTCTCCATTGTCAGGTACAGCAGTACCCTCAGCATGATAACAGGGAGATTTTAAGCTTATCCAAGATATTTATGCAATCCTCTTAAATCATAACACAGTTATGTTAGGAGTCTGAAAAGTTGTAAAACTACAATGCACTACAAACTGTCATGCATTTAGCAATACGGACCAACATCACGTTCTATAAAAAGGAAAAAAATTTAAAACAATTTTGCTCTAAGATTTCTGTAAAGCTACTTGTAGAAACCAGTACACAGTTTGCAGTAATAAACTGCCTTTGGCAAGGAACAGATTCTGTGCCTACGTATTTGAGAACAAGAAAAGCATTTGAAATTAATATAGTGAAAATGAAAGAAAGAATGGAAAAGACACTCAGTAAAAACAAAAAAAATTGCATTTCTGTGCTTCTTTCTATAAAGACGTATGCACAAATGTCTAAATCCTGAACATGTGTTGAAAAGAACAAAACCCATCTAATTGTATGGATGCAGGTACTAAAACCCAATTCTGAATGCAGCTCTGTTTGTGAATGCCGATGCATTTCAAAGTATAAGTTTAAAAATGCTGTCCATTCATTCAAAGCATACACCAGAAAGACAGAAATAACAAAGCAGACCATTTCTGAAAGTGATTTTTGTGGTCAGCAATAATCTGACTTTTTAATATTAGTGACTAACTAATATAATTGTGAGAAAGAGTTTTCCAGTCCTTCCCAAAAAAGGAAAGAAAACACTCAGCAGACATGCAACAGCTAAATATTACCACTTCACATTGACTTATATTGATTTTGGTTTCACTTTCCAAGTTCAGGCTACTATTTCTACAGCAAGCAGAGAAACACTGTCCACTGCGTGCAATTTCAAAACATGAACAAAAACCAGCTGAAAAAGGACTGCTTCCACGAGATATTTTGATGAGGGAAAATAAAACAGGTACCATGAATGATATTTCCTACAATGCTATCAGAACAGATATTCAACGTCTCAGGCCAAACCTCTGTCACCGATCAACTCCACAGTACACAGGGCATGTACCAAACAGGCAGTACAGAAATACACCACTCAGTTAACACACGTACATGTTGCATTATATGTTCATTTCCTGCATCCAGGGGAAAAAACGCCAGAAAAAGAAGGAAAGACACAGTGAAGGGAAAGAGGAAAATACAGAAAAAGTAACAGAAAAAGAAGCCTTGTACCATATGGTACCATTGTGGGCATGATTATTCTGTGAGGTATTGAAAAACATCTGAAGGACGATGCAGTCATAAGTCAAGCACAGCTTCATGGGGTGAAAGTCCTGCTTGTATAACCTGATTTCCTTTTATGACAAGGTAACCCACCTAGCTGATCAAGGGATGCCAGCTGATGGGGGTTTTTTTTTGGATTTCAGCAAAGCTTTTGATACTGTCTCTCATAGTATCCTTCTGGACAAAATGTCCAGCTCACAGCTGGATAAACACATCATGTGGTAGGTGAGCAATTGGCTCATGGATTGAGCACAGAACATAAGAGTTAAATGGGATCAGTGACCTGTCACTAGGGGGGGTTCCATAGGGCTCCATCCTGGGCCCTGTGCTCTTCAACATCTTCATAAATGACTTGGACACAGGACTGGAAGGGATAGTCAGCAAGTTTGTAGATGACACAAAACTGGGAAGAGCTGTTGACTCTGAGGACTGGGCAGTCACCAACCCTATGAAGGGTTAACAGGGGAAAGTGCCAGATTCTGCACCTGGAATGGGCAACCCTGGATGTACGTACAGACTGGGAAACAAGATGCTGGAAAGCAGTGCCACAGAAAGGGACCTGGGGGTCCTGGTCAATGGCAAGTTGAACATGAGTCAGCAGTGCCCTGGCAGCCAGGAGGGCCAACCGTGTCCTAGGGGGCATCAGGTAAAGCATCGCCAGCTGGTTGAGGGAGGGGACTGTCCCGCTCTGCTCTGCACTGGAGCAGCCTTACCTTGAATATTGTGCAGTTTTGGGTGCCTCGACATAAGAAGGATATAAAGCTATTTGAAAGCATCCAATGGAGGGCTATGAAGACAGTGAAGGGCCTTGGGGGGAAGCCATATGAGGAGCAGATGATGTCACTTCATCTGTTCAGCCTGAAGAGGAAACTCAGAGGAGATCTCACTGCAGTCTACAACTGCCTCGTGAGGGGGAAAAGGAGGGGCAAGCACCAATCTCTTCTCTGTGGTGACCAGTGACAAGGACTCAAGGGAATGGCTTGAAGTTGTATTAGGGGAGGCTTAGGTTGGATATTAGAAAAAAGTTCTTCACACAGAGGGTGGTTGGACAATGGAACAGGCTCCTCAGGGAAGAGGTGACAGCACCAATCCTGACAGAGTTCAAGAAGCATTTGGAAAACTCTCTCAAGCACATGGTATGATTCTTGGGGTGTCCTGTACAGGGCCAGGAATTTGGAGTTTGATGACCTTGTGGGCCCCTTCCAAATCAGAATATTCTGTGATTCTGTGATTCATATTTCTGCTGAAAATTATAGTTTTACACAGCATCACCACGTCACTATCCTACTAATTTTTAAATACTGCCAGTCTCCCTGAATTACGAGTTGTTAATTTGTTATAGTCATCATGTTTGCTTCTGCCTGTCCCAGTTACCCGACATGAAAATGAAGACAGGGGAAGTAGCTTTTGCACACTATAGCACCAAGCAAGCATGACTGATACTTATGCTTTCCTTAAGGTGCAACATGGGATACTCTCTTCTTGAGCAAAAATGAAAAAACAATGTATCAGGAGAGCTATAAAGTCACATTCGCAGGGGAAAAAAACCCAACAAAACCTGAGTTTTATTTTAAACACCTCACTAGCCAACTATCTAACCAACAGTGGCTTCATAGCCCATGTTTGTAAAACAGGTATCTTGACCAGCAAGTGGTATAAACTGATCACCTTCCCACTTACATTTATGCTTATCTGACAGATGAGCAAAACCATATGTAATTGCCCTTTATTCCCATAAATAACATTCACCTGGCATGAAAGACATAAAAAACAGAATGGAAAAAAAATTGCAAAAATTATCTCAGGGTAATACGATTATTTTCAAAATATCCAAACAGGAAAAAAAACCCACCCTTGTAAAGATACCCCAAAAACCTAGTAATTAAATTCTTCAAACAATAATCCTAATTTAGTTATCTAAAATATTCCACTAGAAATGAAAGAAATATTGTTAAAATCTAAAAGACAAATATATTCGACAGATATTTGCCTAACAAGTACACAAGCTGAAATGAAAGCAGCTGAAACAAGTTTTCGAAATAGAGACTGGCTTGAAAATTCACTCTGTAGAAAAAGAGGATTCCATTTTTCTGCCATATCAAGCACAATCATGTACTACAACTGGAGAACCTCTGACTGAAGGAAGATGCATTTTCCTATTTTTCAGCTTTCCTAGAAGGCCTGAACAAATAGCAGTACACTGCAGTCTTACACTTCCTTGTACCTATCATTCTGCCTTGGATCTCAAGACTGACTCTGGCTGCACCTGTGGCTTCAAAGTAGCCTCCTCTGGCATAGTTTCTGACTGAGGCTGAATGACCCTTTAAACTTGTATGACCAGGTAGGATCTCTGATGTTTTTGCAGCTATCACCCCACCACTTTCACCATGTCATTTTCAATAAGAATAAAAGCTCTCTTTCATTAGAAGATAACACTCTATCCTCTTAATTTAAGCTACGATGCAGCAATCCTTTATAATGCAGTTAACCCTCTACACAAATGGAAGGATTAAATGAACCTATTTATGGTCTGAAGGTCAAGAGCACAGTGTCTTGATTAAAGTAAAAGAAAAGTGGAAAGCTATCTCCCACAACATCTGTACAGAGTTCACCCATGGCAAGAAATCTCCAAGCATGCTGAGGAGGAAGAAGCAGTTAATAAAGGGCAGTCCTCAGAATCACAGAGAAGAAGGGACTGACCTCTGTTTTGGGACTTTCTTCACTAAATTATCAAAGAGAAATACAATGTATTTGCTACACGGATGCCACAAAGATCCCTCCATTCTCCTCCAGACCATACAAAAAGGTTTAATGTCAATACTTCATAATACTTGCCTTGTATCAAGCCCTTTGGTTGCCATACAACTCAAAGATTTAATGTTTCAGACCTGCAGACTTCTACCTCTATGGCTTTGCTTTTTTGTGTACATGAAATCAGTTCATACCTTTAATTTCTAACAGTAGAAAGTTCTGACTGAATACAAACACCAACAAGCAATATTATTCAGGTGTGTACTGTAAAAGAAAAGTAACTTTGTGAAATTCTCATAGATTTCATTCATTCATTTCATTCATT